CGGGCCGGGCCGGGCCTACCCCCATCCCCCGCCGGCTCTGACCGCCCGGGCGCCTCTTTGCAGATCTCATCGTGCAGGCCAAGTCCGGGACGGGCAAGACCTGCGTGTTCTCCACCATCGCGCTGGACGCGGTGCTGCTGGAGAGCCCGGTCACGCAGGTGAGCGCGGGGCCCGCGGCCTGGCCCGCAAGCACCGCGCCTCGGTGCGGGGTTTGTCCCTGAAACCTTCCGGTGTCCCCTTGGCCCTTCCAGATCCTGGTCCTGGCCCCCACGCGGGAGATCGCGGTGCAGATCCACGCGGTGATCACAACCATCGGGGTGGAGCTGGAGGGCCTGGAGTGCCACGTGTTCATCGGAGGGACCCCCCTGAGCCAGGACCGGGCCCGGCTCAGGAGGTGCCACATAGCGGTGGGCTCCCCAGGTGGGGAGAGCTCCCTGGGGCTCGGGTTGGGGTTCCTGTGGGGAGAGGGAACAGTCTCTGCTGCAAGAGACACCTGGACCAGGTGTTTCTAGTGAGAGATTGGTCCAAATCTGGAACGTTAAAAAATAATTAAAAAAAATAAAAATGACCAAGCTTATCATTAGAACCTTTCAGTTAATATTTTTGAAGTTTGTTTTACTTGTTTTCCTCACGTGTAGGTCGGATCAAGCAGCTGATAGAGCTGGACTACTTGAACACAGCCAGTATCAGGCTCTTCATTCTGGATGAAGCAGACAAGCTTCTAGAAGAAGGCAGCTTTCAGGAACAAATCAAGTAAGAAAAGCTTTTATGCCTTGATCAGTAGATTAGACAAGTGCCTGTTAGTAACTCCTGCTTCTCTGCCTCACAGCTGGATTTACTCCTCCCTGCCAGCCAACAAACAGATGCTGGCTGTTTCAGCCACCTACCCTGAGTCACTGGCTGGTGCTCTGACCAGGTACATGAGGGAGCCAACGTTTGTGAGACTGAACCCCACTGACCCAGGCCTCCTTGGTGAGTGGAATTTCATTTGCAGTGAAGTTGTTAGCAGTGCAGTAAGAAAAGCAGACAGAAATCAAAACATGCACCTTTGAAATGTGTGATTCTTCGTAATTTCTCTCACAAGGGAGTTGATTGGTTGGGGAGGTATTTATTCCCAGTGTTTGTGTTTGAAATATCAGTGATGAATGTGACTTTGTTTATTTATAAGGAAAACCTGCCCCACAGGTGTGTGCTTGTTTGCATGTCAGGCCTGTCTCAGCTGCAGGGCCAGGTGCTGGCAGCACCACTCCTGGCTTCTCAGGAGCCCTTCATGTGACAGCTTTTTGGTTTTGTGCTCAGGGCTGAAGCAGTATTACAAAATTGTGAATTCCCATCCTCTTCCACACAAAACATTTGAGGAAAAAACCCAGCACCTGCAAGAGCTGTTCAGCAAGGTTCCCTTTAACCAGGCCTTGGTCTTCTCCAACCTGCACAGCAGGTAACATCTGAGGTCAGCTCTGTGAAAGCAGAGGTGGTGATGTCTGATTGGGGTTAAAGAGAGGGTTCCTGTGGGGAGAGGGAACAGTCTCTGCTGCAAGAGACACCTGGACCAGGTGTTTCTAGTGAGAGATTGGTCCAAATCTGGAATGTTAAAAAGTAATTAAAAAAAATAAAAATGACCAAGCTTATCATTAGAACCTTTCAGTTAATATTTTTGAAGTTTGTTTTACTTGTTTTCCTCACGTGTAGGTCGGATCAAGCAGCTGATAGAGCTGGACTACTTGAACACAGCCAGTATCAGGCTCTTCATTCTGGATGAAGCAGACAAGCTTCTAGAAGAAGGCAGCTTTCAGGAACAAATCAAGTAAGAAAAGCTTTTATGCCTTGATCAGTAGATTAGACAAGTGCCTGTTAGTAACTTCTGCTTCTCTGCCTCACAGCTGGATTTACTCCTCCCTGCCAGCCAACAAACAGATGCTGGCTGTTTCAGCCACCTACCCTGAGTCACTGGCTGGTGCTCTGACCAGGTACATGAGGGAGCCAACGTTTGTGAGACTGAACCCCACTGACCCAGGCCTCCTTGGTGAGTGGAATTTCATTTGCAGTGAAGTTGTTAGCAGTGCAGTAAGAAAAGCAGACAGAAATCAAAACATGCACCTTTGAAATGTGTGATTCTTCGTAATTTCTCTCACAAGGGAGTTGATTGGTTGGGGAGGTATTTATTCCCAGTGTTTGTGTTTGAAATATCAGTGATGAATGTGACTTTGTTTATTTATAAGGAAAACCTGCCCCACAGGTGTGTGCTTGTTTGCATGTCAGGCCTGTCTCAGCTGCAGGGCCAGGTGCTGGCAGCACCACTCCTGGCTTCTCAGGAGCCCTTCATGTGACAGCTTTTTGGTTTTGTGCTCAGGGCTGAAGCAGTATTACAAAATTGTGAATTCCCATCCTCTTCCACACAAAACATTTGAGGAAAAAACCCAGCACCTGCAAGAGCTGTTCAGCAAGGTTCCCTTTAACCAGGCCTTGGTCTTCTCCAACCTGCACAGCAGGTAACATCTGAGGTCAGCTCTGTGAAAGCAGAGGTGGTGATGTCTGATTGGGGTTAAAGAGATCAGAGCAGCCTGTCCTTAGGGGTGCACAGGGGTTGTTGTGGGTTTGTTGACAGGTTTTGTTGTGTCTTTTGTGTCAGGGCTCAACATCTTGCTGAGATCCTGACCTCCAGGGGCTTCCCTGCTGAGTGCATTTCAGGTAACTGTGTTCCAGGCTTTCTGATTCTGTTCATGTTGTGCATAAATGTGACCTAAAATAGGAAAACTAATCTTAAATCTTGGTTTGTGTGGGTTCTGGTCAAAGAACTAAGAAAACATTTGAATCTTTGCAGATCTTTAGGACTTATTTTTTATGTTGATTTACTTTCCTGCTTTCAGATTAGTTTGGGAGCCATTTTTATGGCTGTCCAGAGGAGTTTAGGGGCTTCTTTGTCAAGAGGCTACTTTTGCAGGCTGAAGCAATATTTCTTTGCAGCTGCTGAATTTAAATATTAATTCTTCGGGGCTTCTCTCTACAAAGCTGATACCTGCCACCTGAGGGTTGTTAGAAACCTTGAGGTTTTACTTCAGCAGTGTTTTCTGTGGCTTGTGTTTAAAAACAAAGCCAGTGGTGTTCCAGTGGGACAAGTATCAACAGAATTGGTTTCTCTCTAAAACAAGCAGAAGAGGAATTTTTGTAATGGATTTTCTTCCTGTCAAGTTTGTATTTGTTCCTTGTTTACTCCCTTGGAGCTGAGGAAGTTTCTCCCCTACAGTTTTAGAAAGCAGGGTTTTCCACACTGTGAGGGGCACGAGGCTGAGGGGTGTCACTGGGTCCTGATGTTTGTCATTCCAGGCAGCATGAACCAAAACCAAAGGCTGGATGCCATGGCCAAGCTGAAGCAGTTCCACTGCAGGGTCCTGATCTCCACAGACCTGGTGAGCTGGTGTTTTGGGGCACCCAGAGTGTTACACACACAGTTCCTGCAGAGAAGTGGTTGGGCTTGGGATCAGATGGAGCATGATGTGAATCCAGCACTGTCTGTGACTTATTTTCACTGTGAAACTTAGAAATTGTCCCTTATTCCTCACCTGGCTCAGAAATAATACTGAGTTGTTGCTCTGCAGGAGCGTGTGAATGTTTCAGAGCAGCAGAGTTGGTTCCTTTGGGCAGGAGCAGTTTGTCCCAGCACAGTGTGTTAACAGCTGCTTCCCAGACAACTCTGGCTGGAGCAGGGCTCTGTTTGAGCCTCTCCCAGTTTTTGATGAAGTTCTCAGTTGGATGTTTGAGGTCCTGTCACGAGGGGAATGTTGTTGTTGGGCTGAATTTTTTCAGGGAGTCTTTGGGGAAAAGGTGCTTGTGTTTGATTGTGGAAGGCAGAGGACAGAGCCCCCCTGGTGTCCCTGCTCCCAGTGCAGTGTCTGTTCTGCCTGTGACTGGGAACCTGTGGGGGCTTCATGGGGTGTTGGGGCAGCTGAAGCTCCCGTGGAAGCAGCTGCTCCCAGGATGCCTGTAACTAAAGGTCTGTTCAGTGCACTCAGTTCCCTGTCCCCTCTCTCTCCCTGAAGACATCCCGTGGGATCGACGCAGACAAAGTGAACCTGGTTGTCAACCTGGATGTCCCTGCAGACTGGGAGACCTACATGCACCGCGTGGGCCGAGCTGGGCGCTTTGGTAGGAGCATTCCTGGGGAGCCCTGGAGCATGCCCTGCCCCCCTGGCAGGGGAGGTCATGGCACTGCCCCTTGTGTGTCACAGGGACCTTGGGCCTGTCCGTGACCTACTGCTGCCGTGGAGAGGAGGAGAACACCATGAGGAACATTGCTCAGAGGTGTAACCTTCAGCTGCTCCCTCTGCCAGGTGTGCTCTGTCCTGTCAATGCAACTGGGGTTTTGTTGGTTGGTTTCTCTTTGGTCAAAGCTTCAGGCAGGGAACTGACATGTGTCTTCTCTGCTGAAGCTGCCTGGATGTTGGGACAGGTTTGTCATGCTCTGCTCTAGTGACCAGTTGTGTAAGTGCTGCAGTTGTGCAAAGCAGCAGAAAGTGACCTTAGTGCCCATGGGCAGGGAGAGGAGCTCAGCACCCAGCTGCTGCTCACTGGGAGCCACCAGGAATCTGGTGTGAAGTCTTTCTTAGGCTGGAAGATACAGCAGGAGAAGGAAGGAACTTGTTACCCTTGCTTTGCCAAAAGCTCTGCTAGAAATGAAGCATTTGCCACCTTGCACACATGCTAATTTTTCATCTGGTTAAGTAATGCAGTGGTGTTTGTCTTGGTCAGTTTCTTGATGCCTTCCATGAAGAAAAGGTTCTGGCTATTTGAGCCCTTTCAGGAATGGAGGGGGTTGATTTGTACCCCTGACTGAACAGGCCTGAGCACCTTTGCTGTGCTTTGTGCAAAGCTTTGCTTGGGTACTTGTTGGGTTCTGGGGAGAGGGATGTGCTTAACTGAGTGCCTGCTTGTTCCCCCTTGTGCAGATCCCATTCCTCGTGGCATGATGGTTCAGTTTGAGGACGGAGAGGTGGAAGTCAAACCTGTTGTACCCACAGATACTTCAGTCCATTCTGACCCTGTGTGTGTTAGACCAGAGGAACCAGCACTGCAGCCTGCCCAGAGGAATCTTTCAGAGGCACCTGAGCCTCTTCCTAGCCCCCCAGCTGACGATTTTTCTGTGGAAAGGCCAAAAAAGCCTCTGAAGGTGAAGCAGGTAAAGAAGTGCACAAATTCTGCAAATACTGAGAAAGGCAGAAACCCTCAGATGTCCCATTGCCCCCCAGGACAGAGGAGTCAAGTCAAAACTGTCTCCAGAACAAGTGGACAATGTGACACTCAGTCTCCAGAGGAGGAGGCCTTAAGAAAAAATCTTCCCAGAATTCCATGCTTGTCTTCTTTCAAAAACCACCAGAACAATCCCTGGAGCTTCTCAGAGTTGGTGGAAGACTATGAGTATTTCATCACAGAAGGCTTGGAGAGGGAGGTTGAGGTTGTCAGAAGCTGCTCAGGGCCAGGGGAGCAGGGCAGAAGTGAGGCTGTGGGGTGGGAGGAGGAGGGACATGACACAGGGAGGGTGGCAAATGGTGTCATGTCTGGTGACAGTGATGGGTCCTACAGCTCCAGGGCTTCCTCCAAGAGCAGGGAAAATAACTCCTGCTTGGAAGCATTTTCAGACACAGAGGAGAAGGATGCTGTTCCTCCAGAGGGCCAGGGCCATGCAGGCTTCTGTCCTGCACCAGAGCAGCCCCAGGAGCTCCCACCAATCCCAAAGCAAAATCAAGTGAAAAAGAAGGTTCTGAAACAAAACTCCAAGCAAAAGAAAAGGCATAACCAGCAGTTTCCTGATGCTGCCACAGGACACCCTGCAGCTGGATGCTCCTGCAGCTCTGGGGATGCTGCTGCTTCCTGTGAGGCCTGGAGTTACAAGAACTACTGGCAGTGGTACTACCAAGCATGGCAGGACTACTGCACTGCAGTGTCTCACTACAGGAGCAGCTACAGGCAGCTCAGCTGGCTGAACACCTACCATGCCAACTCTGTTTACCTGCAGGAGCTGCTGAAAGGTGGGGACTGAGGCAGTGGCACTACTGGGTGGTTCTGTGGGTGGGTCAGCTGGGAAAACAGCTGCTGCTCTAGGAGAGCACTGACAGGTTTGTGTAGGGTTGAAGGACATTTCTAAGTGGGCTGTGTCCAGGGGAATATTTTATATGCATTCCAGTGATGGTGTCACCAATTGTTAATAAAAGGAAGTGAAAGACAGCTGGGTGGTCACTTGTAATCTGTACAATCCCAAGTGAACAAAGGAAGACAGAAGGCAGGCACTTCAGTGTGAGGTGTCTCAGGAGAAAATACAGAACGTCCCTGGGTTTCTGTGCTTGACTTGCATTGCCTGTGTGACTTTGGGTGAGGATGAAGCCACTGTGACCACCTGTAGTCTGTCCAGAGTTGGAAATCATTGTTTTATGTAGTTCTCATTAAACACCAGGCACTGATGATATACCAGTTAAGTGGCAGGGTGAAGCCTGTATCTTCCTGCCTGTATTGCTAATTTAAATGCAGTTAATTAACATTGTATAAATAACACCTCTAGCTGGGTGTATGAAAAGCTGTGCAGTAAAGGATGGTTTAATTATGTAACAAGTGTGCAGCAATCATAATTGATCTGTCCCTCTGGGTGCAGCAATATCAGACTTGCCACACTTAGAGGGAAGGTTTAATTAGAAATGAAATTACCTGTTAGTACTAAAACTAATTGGTATTTCCTGTCTGGGTTGCACTGTGCTGTATGTAGGGTCCTGGAGCAGAACAAGAGGAGAGCTCTGCCTGGCTCAGGGACTGACCCTGCCTTGGCTGGGATGGTTTTGAACCTTCCATCTTCTATCTGTAATGTGGTTGGGATCATAGAGATGGACTTTTTTCAGCTAGTTTGTTTGATTTCTCCAGATTCATCAGAGCAGGCACAGTCTGGGGTTTTGTTTGTTTTCCCCTGGAGCAGAGTGAGGCTGGATTTCCTTTGCACAAGCACAGCTCCTGCCTGCTGGGGCTGCACTTCCAAGGAGACTTGCTGCTTGCACTTGGGAATGTGGGTGTCTTGCTGGGTTGCTCACTTCAGACAACTTCCAAATTCATTCTGAGACCCACAAAATGTGTCCTCTCAGCTCTTGTGACTCCCTGGACACTCCAGATTTTCTCGCAGATCCTGCGGGGTCCCTGGCAGCTCTTGGGACCTTTTTGTGCAGTGATGGGGATGAACTTTACCCTACAGAATTCAGAGCCTTCACCATGCAGGGGAACTGCAGGACTGATTGGGCTCCCAAGAGGCACAGCAAGGTGGCTGTAGCTGGGCAGGGTGCTGTCCTGCCAGGGCTTGTGGGTTCCCCACTTGTCCCTGTGGGAATCAGCCTGAATTTACTGGATCAGCCTAAATTTACTGCAGGGAAGGAAACTGCCTTGTGGGCTCCCCAGCTCAGTGCTGACTCAGTGGTGGTCAAGGTCACCTGGTGAGTGATTTTAATTTCTGCCCAATTATTTTTGGAAATTTGAAAGATGTGCCTCCAGGTGGCAGGTGCTGGTTGGGCTGAGGTGGGACCAGCTCTGCTGGGTTTGTGGCCAAAACAAGCTGACCTGCAATGCAGGAGGCAAAGGGGAGTGCCAGGGTGAGATTGGCTCTCAGAAGAAAGGCACAAGATGTGCTCCTTCATGGCAATAAACATCTTGTTGGAGGGAGTAATTTTTTCTTCCTGTCCTTTTTTCCTGCTTTATTCCCTTTGGGAGGAGACTCATCTGGATTCTGGCTGCACAGTGTGAACAGGCCCAGATGATGTGATTTAGTTTCCAAGATGAATTTTGTTGCAACTCTGGGCGTTCAAAAGGAGGACAGGGTGGGAGATACTCTGCAGTTCCTGGAACATCTCTCATCTTGCTGTTTTCCTGAAGGTTTTTTTAAGTAAGAGTTCACAATATTTAAATGCAACTCGAGAGGTTTAGGCCAATACCCAAAGTTCTCCAAAAGAACCTCCTAGGATTTTATTTATTTAGAAGAAATCTACAGCATCATCTGGGTATTTGTGGCACATACTCTGTTTAATCCAGATTGGATACATCAGGTACAGCAGTGGCACAAGACTCAATACTGTAAATGATATACAAGTTTCAACATATGCACTACAATTCCAAAAGAAGACAACAGGAAACTTGGTTCTTCTAGAAAGTTGTTCTCCAATGAAGCTACCTGCAGCTGTATACAGTACATCTTGGATCTGTCCTCTGGTGTCTGTAAGCAAAGCCCACTTAGAGTATGAAAATAGAAAATAATAAGGTCGAGAGCTTCTTGTAACATAAAACTCCCAAGGAAAACACGGTTGCTTTGGAATCCTGCACTGAGTTATCCAAAATAGACCATCACACACCTGTTGTGAGAGACTTCATTGGTCCCAGGAGCCCAGGGGAGCTCCCAGGCCTGGCTGCACCACAGCAAGGGGAGCCTGGGGGGGCTGCTCCCCTGACTGCTGGACTAGCATGAGCCCCAAGGAAAGGAAACACGTGCACACACAGAAACACACAAGGTAACAGACTATTGCCTGGGAACTAAACTCCAGAAGGAATTTTGACAAGCTCTTTGTCACCTGGTCTTTTGGCTGATCCACCTGGAGTTTTTCTGGCACAGTTCCTGGGTCTGAAGGTGAGTAGCAGGACTTCCCTGGCACCTTCTGCAGAGTGTGTGGGTGTTCATCAATGGAGCTTCACTTACTGAAAGAGGGGGGGTTAAATTCTCTACAGCTTGTGTAACTGGCAAAGAGGTGAAATGATTTGTTCCAGGTCACTTAGTGATTCACCAGGACACTCAGGGGTAGAACACAGGATCCTGATGCTCCCTCCCAGCTCTGAGTAACCTCCCTGCCTCCTTCTTTGGGAGGGATGAAACAGTTATGGGGAGTTTTATGGTATCATTGAATAGGAAAAACCTGAGCTCTGAAATCTGTATCTAGTGCACTCTCTTAAGGTGTTGAAGGGAAGTAGGTTATTGTTTGTTTGCTTCGGGTTTTGTTTTGTTTAAATCAAGATATATTTGATTGGTAAATTATGTGAAAAAGGAGTTTTATTCACCTAATTTTCAAAGCAGAACAAAGTCTTTGTTTCAAAGCTGCTGATGCTCACCAGCCATCTGTGGATGCTGCCTTTGTAACTGCCATAGTCTGGCACAGAAAAAATATTACAGGATCCAAGAGATGTTTGCAGCCCATAAATTAAATGTGATTTTTAATGCACTGAATTTGCTCTATAATGTGGGTAAGATACAACATGTTTTACAAGCTCTTTACTTAAAGCAAAACATTTGAAACAACTTTGCTTCTTGAGCTGGCATCGAGCTGCTTTTCATGCTCACCCCTGGAGCTGCCCAAGCTAGAGGGACAAATGCTGCTTTGCAGCACTTGTGTTTTACCCCCTGCTTCAGACTCAACAAGCAGCTTTGATTCACACCTGGTATTTCTGGCTACTCTCCAGAAATTTGTGTTTTGAATCACCTGTTGACTTTATTCCCCACTGAAGCTGTGTGTGCTACTGAGCTGATGTTTTCCCAGGTTCACTTCTAGCAAGGATAGTTATTTGACAGACAGAAGTTGTCTCTGGCATAAGAACTTGCTGTGGAAGGTTTTCTGTTCCTGGGGTGCTGGCAGGGAGCCTGGCAGGGTGGGAAGCAGAATCACTTCATGTGGTGCAAGGGAACAGAACAGCAAGAGAGGAGAAATCAAGGGAAGCATCATGACTCAACAGCAGGGGAAGATCCTTCACACAGAGATCTATTAGCCTGGAATAAATTCCCCAGGGACACAGTGGGAATCCTTTCCTTGGAGAATCTGGAATCTAATCTAGAGAAAACTATGCAATCTGTTGCAGGGAGGATGTTGTGCTAGTGGAGGATGGATTGGATTTTTGAATTACTTAATTTTTATGCACCAGGATGTGTTCTCTTCAGCCCCTTCTTTATGGTTGCCCTTAAGAGTTTTAAGGAAAAGGTGGATTTTAAAGTAGATGGAAGTCAAAGCCTCAGTGTGAAAGGCATTTCTCACCATTCCTTGCCAGTTGGGTGTGATTCCTTCCATTAGCAGCCCAGTGCCAGGTGAGAGGAGAGCACATCTATTAATAGGATCTGCTTAAAACCTGTGAAAGTATTTTTCCATCTGAAAAGGCTCCAGAAAGGAAACAAAAATGCTCAGAAAAAGGTGTTGCTCCTTTGGGATTTTTAATATTGCTTTACAAAAGACTGAAAAAATAATCCCCTTCCTTTTGCTTCTTTGTAAAAACAATCTGGTTTTATCTTTTTTTCTAAAACTATAAAAAGTCACAAGGAATTAGTGGGAGGGGAGGGAGGCTTTTGGAATGAACTGCCCACATCCTACGGACACTCTGTTGGAGACTCTTGCTGATCAGGCTGGTTTGCACCCCCTGCCTTTCAGAGAGGTGTTGGCACTGGAACCCACCCGTGTTCCTGGTATTTTCCCTCCTGGAGGCAGCCCATGCCTGGGGAAGCCTCTTTCCATCAGGAATGACTGGGATTGCAGGGGGATGTGCTGGTTTTTCCTCAGTGTGGGTGTGTGGCAGTGGGCAGGGAGAGGTGCTGGTGAGACAGGGCAGTGCTGGGCACCACTGGAGTCACTGGTCCAAATCCTCCTGTTCTGGCTGAGGAATGTCCAGGATTGCCTTGCCCTTATCTCAGCAATGGTTTGTCAGTTGCTTTTTAAAGGTTACAAAGAGCCTTGCAGTTCAGTAAAGCTGATTGCCTCCCTTTGCTGTAGGAATAAGTGTCTATAGTGCAGTTCCTGTGCTCCTCTGTGCCAACCATGGGATGGGATGGGTTGGGTTGGAAGGGACCTCAAAGATCATCTCTTTCCAACCTTCCTGCACGGGCAGGGACACCTCCCACTAGCCCAGGTTGCTCAGGGCCCCCATCCAGCCTGGCCAACCAGCCCTTCCCTCCTTCCCTGCCTTCATCTGGTGCCACGTTGTGCCCCAGCAGCCCCTGCCCTGAGGTCTGTGCTGTTCCAGGGGCCTCAGGCTCCCAGCACGGGGATGGAGCTGGGCTGGGCAGCCCAGGCAGGTTTTGTGCACGCACAGAGTCAGGAGCTTTTGGAAGCATTTCTCAATCTGCTTCACATCAGTGAATAAAGGGAGCTAATGTTCCCGTGAAAAATATTTTCTGCCCTGTTGTTCTTGGCTCAGACTTGCTTAGTTTTGTCTTTGCCCACTGCCCGTGTGGAGGTGCTGGAGGGGGCAGCACCTGCCCAGGTGAGGCAGGAGAGGCAAGGAGCTGGTCTTGAGCAAGGGTAACAAGGATCCCCTTCTGTGGAGAGAAGGCTGGGGCTGCCCTGACAATCTGAGCTCAAGCACCCAGCCAGAAACCCCAAGGACTGGCTTTTCTCTTCACTAGTTTTTGCCTCTTAAAAATGTAATTTGGGGTTTTTTTTCCCCAAGAAGCATTTTGATTTGGCAGCAACTGAACACCAATAGTGCTTTCAGCCACGGGCTGCCAGGACTGCTATTCACAGAGAACTGGGTGCAGAGATGAAGTGGCTTGTTTACCACCCCACAGCAAATGGGGAACAAGAAAGGCAGGACCCAGAGCCCACGGAGAGTCCCTGACTCTTGGCCACCCTTTCCTGGTCAGCAGGGCAGTGTGTGGCCTCCCGTGGGGCTGCAGGGTGCAAAGTGGAGGGGAGCAAGGCCTCTGGTCTCTGGGGGTGTTCAGGTGGGGAGCAGATGATGACAAATAATGAAGTGAAAACAAAGGAAAGATTAAATGAACACATCAAGAAAAACTCGATCATGGTAAGATTAACTGCAGCACAACCTCCTACAGGAAGCAGCAAAGGCAGAGCTTTTTAATAATTTAAAACAGGACTAAACATAGTTTTTGGGTAAGGTGTTGCAGCACTGGAGTAATTGACTATAAGCTGGTGCCACTACTGAAGGCTGAGCCCTAATATTCCTAGAGCTTTGGAGGTGTCTAAGGAAGCTGCTGAGTTAATGCCTCAGCCCTCTGAGTCCACACTGTAACTAGCAGGTTAGGAGGGTAACAAAGCAGACTGCTAGCTAATACATTTCAGTCAGCATGTAGGTCTAGTTATCTATCTGTACATGTATGTGTCTATTATTTATATATGTGTATATGTGTATATAAACAGCACATCAGGATAGACTGGGACAGATGTTAAAAAAAAAAGTTATCAGTTTGCTGAATCAGCTTCAAACATGCTGAGAGCAGCTCTGAACTCTGGTGTTGGTGAACTCCCTGCCCAGGAACAGGACACCTGAGGTGTCTTTGTTCTCTCCAAGCTGCTGGGGACTGGGAGCATCACCCGTCCTGGGGGGGTTCAGGGCTCCAGGCTGCTGTGCAGGACGGCAGCAACTGGCCAGGGGGTGACAAGTGAAGAGGTGGGTGACATTGCTCCTCACTTTGCCCTTCATGGATCACACCTGGTGTGAAAAGGGGGCCTGAGAAAGGCAGAATGGAAGAAAAAACGTTACTCTTCTTAGGGAGAAAAAAAAATAAATCAGTCATGTTTCAGAGCCACTTATTTCCTTAAATCATTCCTAGAAAGAGGTGCTAGGACTGACCACAGCTCAGTCAGCAGTATCAGCTTCTTGGTAGTAACCACAGTGTTAGTTCAGGTTTTGGTTGACTAGAAAGGTGTGACTTTTCCCAGACTGGGGGTAGAGCTGCAAAAAGAAGCTGCTGTCTGTGCCAGACTTGATCAAATGTTTTCCAAACTGCAGAACTGCTCCCCCTTCTCAGGTGGATGCACGTTGGAGATCCTGGGCTGGGGCTAGAAAGGAACTTGCTGCCCTGTTCTGCCCCTGAAATCAGTGCAACCCAGAAGCCATTGATGAGACAAGGACTGGGAAAAGGCCAAATACCCCTCTGTCCATGCAAGATATTTGGCTCTGGGGTTAGTTATTATCAAGTATAGATCCAGACGTTACTGGGCTACTATTTACAGTGGGTTGTATGTCCAGTGCTAGCAAAGAGATTGGTATCTAGAAAACAAAACTGAAAAAGCATGGGCATACGTTAGAGGAACCTCCATCAGACTCTGAACACTTGATGCAGCCAAGCTCAGTGCTTTCTCATCCTTTGCCATTTGTGTGCACAGTATTAAAAAACAGTCCTACCTTGTTTGTTCTTTTTAAAAATACAGAACTGGTAGTCTAGTCACACTTACAGGTAAGTGATAACAAAAATAGAAAGCAGATACCCAGGTGGGACTAAAACTCTACTATAGCCTGTCTTTTTCTTTTTTTTTTCTTTTTTTTTCCACAAATATGTTTTCACAGACAATAATTAGCAGACAAACACTGTTTGCAATCGCACTGTATTGACTTAAAAGGCGGATACAAAATTGGCTAAATAAAGAGTGCCATCCAGGGGGAACAGTGTGTGTGTGTGTGCACACCTGTGTGCTGACACGTGCTCGTGTGCCCCAGCTGTGCCCCAGGGCTGGCAGCAGGCTCTGCTCCCTGGCAGGCAGTGCTGCTGTGCCCGGGCTGCTGCACACAGGGCACAGGCTGGGCAGGGGCTCTGGGACAGGTGGCTCCTTTGTCTAAATCTTTTCCTATAAAAGAAAAAAAACCCAAACAAACAAACAAACAAACAAAAAAAAAAGTGAAATTTTGGTTGGTCTAAAGGTTCTGCTCCATGAAGAAAAAAAAATTCACAAAATCCATAGTTTTTCACCTTTTCAGTCATTTCCTCATGAATAAATATTATCCACTGAGAACCTTTGCAAGGTGCTGCGATACACAGTGTTAGAGCTCCGCTCCCGCGGGCCTCCTTGCCACGGGGCTTCCTCCCCTCTGGCCTCCATGGGGGACTTTTTGCCCTCTACCCTGGCACAACACGCTCTCCGTGCAGTTTTTTTCCTTTAACCAGCCTCGTCCTCCCTTTCCCAACCCGTCCTCAGTCCACAGCTGGGGTGTGAGCCTGAAGAGAAGCTGCCCCGTCGGGCCCGTCGCTGAGCGATGGCGAAACGTCAGGTTGGTCCATCCAGGCACGATTTGCAGCAAGAAAGGAGCATGGAGGTGTGGAGGGAGAGGGGGGCACTGGTCTTCCAGCCTCCTTCTGTGCATGAGACGTCTTTACAAGGCAGAGACCTTGACGATGTTGCTCGTGGTGGTGGGGATGCTGGCGTGGCTGGGGCTGGGGGGCGGGCGGCTCTCGCCCTCGGGGGTGAGCGCGGGGGGCGTGGGGATGCTGATGATGGCTGTTGTTATCTGGGCAGCTTTGCAGTTCGGTCTCAGCCCATCATCTGATTTCATGTTGAGACTGGAACGACTAGAAAACAAGTTTAGTGTTTGGCTTTTTTTTTTTCCTTAAAAAGAAAGAGCACCAAGCAGGCAGCAGGAGGAGCAGGAGCTGCTCCATCAGTGTCTTCTTCCTCTCAACTACGGGCACTGAAATATTCAGAAGGCTCCACCTCAATGTTCCCCCATTTCTGCAAGGTATCATTTATTTCTCCCCAGATTACACAAATTAGGGTACAGCTTTTCACAGGGCAAATTGTTCTAACGTTTCCATTTCATTTGTGCATCATTCTAGTTTAATTAAGGGAGCATCTTAATGCACCATCCTGTGCAGTGAGTGCATCTTTCAGAGCACAGGTAGTTCTTCCTGAGAAAGAGATGTTGTCTTCCTTGCATTTCAAATGCATCTTTCAGATTCACTGTCCCTTGATCTTTTCTATTTTTGTCACCTCTCTGCAGCAGTTGCAGGGTCTGGCAGCTGGGAGCATCCCTGTCAGATCTGCACCAACTGCAGCCTACGTTTAACTGCAGAGGGAAAGTGGCAGGTTCATTTCTGTGCACCTGCACAGCTACAGGGCTCTGCTATTACCAGCCCAACGTGTTCATTTTAAACACAAGGCCTGTCCTTTGGAAACGTAAGGCTCCCAGTTGGAAACCTATTGCTGCTGTTCTCCCAGTGACTCACCCAGAGGATGTTTCTTGGTCGCTCAAGCTTCCCAAGAACACTTTGTGAGGCAGAACCTGTTCTGCTCCCCCTGCCTCAGCCAGGAGCTGAGAGGGGGGCAGTCTGAGGGACTGGGGGGTTCTGCCAGTGGTAACCAGTATGCCCAGTTAGTTGTGTTCCACGGGAAAAACAACTTAAAAGCTTTTTTTACTTAATTCTTACACATTTTGGTAAGAGAGTGAAGTAACAAACTGTTGACATTTAAAATATCACTGGCATCTGATGTAGCACCCACTGCAATAGGCAGAATAGTTGACATTCCCCTGAATTGCTGCTTCAGGTGCTGCTTTATACTCTTGTCATCTTGAAATTGCAATAGTCAGAGACTGGTTTTGTGCTTATCCATTCATAATTCATCCTCTGAAAGGCCCTTCTGACTTCCCCCTGGCCCACAGCGACTGCTGCTGCGCTTTGTTTCATTCCTAGATCCCTTTGATAGGGGTGGGGAGAAGAATGGGAAGTTCAGGAGCAGCCCAGTGCACAAGAAGCTTAATGGGCTGAGGGGTATTTAGAGAGTAATTGGATATTTGCAAGAAATATATGGTGGAGAAATTATTTTTTCAGTAAGTTATGGGTAAAATGAAAGTTTTGAGATTTTTCCATTGAGACTCTTCTTCCCCTGTGTCACTGATGCCTTTTGAGGTGAGAGCTCCTCAGACACCAGGACATTCCTCCTCCTTTGTTTCCCAGTGGTGCTCGATGCTCACAGTTGCAATTTAGACTTTGGGACAACGAAAATCAGTGATGTGAGTGTCCCTGGTGGGCCATGTCTGTGCAGCTCTGCAGCAGCTCCTGCTCCCAGCCACTGATGAGCTGCTTTTGCCCAGGAAGGGCTCTGGAGCCCCGGGCTCTCTGGGAGCTCAGCTGTGCCAGCTTTGGTGAGTGGCTCACAGCTGGGAACTGCTGGCTCCTGCCCGTGTGATTAGCACTTCAGAGGCAGGTTCCAGCTGGAATTCACTCTGCTGTGTCCAGATTGGCCAGGGAAGAGCTGCACTAGGAGGAAGCTTTGACCTGGTTCTTCCCGGAGCAGGTAGGAGACCCCTTGGAAGGAAGGAAACCAACACACTCCCAGCACTAGATCCCCCCTCCCTGGCTGGAGACCCGACCTGAGGGAGCATCCAGTGGGTCAGCCCTCTCCAGGGCCTACTTACTGTACCTGGTGGTGAGGGAGGGCTGCTGGCTGCAGGGCACGTGGATGGTGCTGAGCTCCTGCAGGCTGCGCAGGCGCGTGGCGGCCACGCTGGCGTTGGGCAGGTGGCTCCTCTTGCTGCGCCGGGAGCAGCCGGAGCTGCCCAGCCCGTGCTGGCTGGACAGGGACGGGCTCCGAGAGGAAGGGTAGTTCTGCATCGAGCTCTCCATGCAGTTCTGCTCAAAGAGCTGCTCGTCTATGAACTCGTGGTTCTGGCAGGGGACAGAACAGCAGCGTTACTGGCGGCACCGGCAGCACCTCTTGGCGAGGCTGGCGGGACGTGCCAGCTCCTTGTCTGTCTGAGCTGCTCTCTGCCTGAGAGTGTTTGCACCAGGCAGATCTTCAAATGACTCTGCCCTTCCACTCACTGCAACCGAGAGAAGACCTTGCTCCCCTGCACCAGGGGGGCACAGGGAGGCAGCTGCAGTGGGGAAGGCAGGGCAGCCCCTCCGTGCTGCCCTGCTCTGTACTCTGAGGTGCTTCATATGTTGTGTTTGAACTTCCTTTCATTTGTGTGTCTGGATTCCAGAAGTGGCTTCGAAACATCTGCAATACCACCTGATTATGAAACCGCCCGTGCTGGCTGGACAGGGACGGGCTCCGAGAGGAAGGGTAGTTCTGCATCGAGCTCTCCATGCAGTTCTGCTCAAAGAGCTGCTCGTCTATGAACTCGTGGTTCTGGCAGGGGACAGAACAGCAGCGTTACTGGCGGCACCGGCAGCACCTCTTGGCGAGGCTGGCGGGACGTGCCAGCTCCTTGTCTGTCTGAGCTGCTCTCTGCCTGAGAGTGTTTGCACCAGGCAGATCTTCAAATGACTCTGCCCTTCCACTCACTGCAACCGAGAGAAGACCTTGCTCCCCTGCACCAGGGGGGCACAGGGAGGCAGCTGCAGTGGGGAAGGCAGGGCAGCCCCTCCGTGCTGCCCTGCTCTGTACTCTGAGGTGCTTCATATGTTGTGTTTGAACTTCCTTTCATTTGTGTGTCTGGATTCCAGAAGTGGCTTCGAAACATCTGCAATACCACCTGATTATGAAACCCAAGAGAAGATCTGGGGACCTTGGTCACTGTCTGGACATGCAGCTGAGCTGCAGGGCGTTTGTGTCGGCCCTGGGGTGCAAAGCAAACCTGCAGCTCTCTGGGTGCTGTTGGCTGAGTGGAAATCAAGGGGGCAGGTGAGAGCTGGAAGTGCAGAGGGAAAGGAAATTCAGCAAGCTGCATTTGTGGAGAGTTTCTGTGCTAAGGAATAAGAAATCCTGAAAGAAAGAGCTCTAGTGTGTGTGCATGAATGTGGATAGAAACACACTTTATCCAGCCCCTATCAGCATCAGAAAGGATGGGAAACAAAAGCAGCCAGGGTGAAAGTAGCCACCAGCTGTCACTGGAACAACCAACAACCTCACAGGAAACAAGAGCACTGCACAGCCAGGAAGAGCCACGTGCACAAGCTCCCGCAGACAAGACCAGGAACAGGAAAGGAAGCAACAGGGTCCAGACACGGCACAGAGACCATAGAGAGAACAGATTGAATTAAAGAGGAAATACCTTGATGGTGGAAGTTCGTACAGATAACAGGGGATCATCCACAAGATAGGACAATCCCTACGGGACAACATGCCAACAAAAGATAAAAACACAATTGATTGTCCATCCTGGCATCCAGAAGATCAGTCCCAGCACTGCATCCCTTGCCTCAGCATTCCAGCTGGCTGGCTCAGGTTTGAATGGGCAACTGGACCTTCTCTTCACCAAACCTTGTCTGAATCAAACTCCTTTGTTCCTTCCTTCTCATTTTTTTAAAGTTATGATCTTGGAAATGGAACAAACCTGGTAACTTTATTACTTCGAGCTTATGAGAGCTGAAGGCAAAGGAAAACAAAGTTCCAGCTGCTGATTCAGAAGCAATAGTTGGAATTGCATGGCCAGGGGCTCCCCACTGGAGCTGGGGCCTGACCATGTTCTGTGGGAACACAGGAGAAAGGTTTGGGTTGAAGGACTGGATTGATGCACTCAGCACCAGGAGAAAACGTGGCATGTGAATGTCCATCCTCCACTGGGGAGCTGGAAGGAGCTGAAAAAAACTCCTTCGGTTTGAACAAACTCCATCTGTTTTGTTAATGTGACAAAGCAACCTCTGTTGTGGCAGCTACAGGTACTTGAGGGTCACTTTGTCATCTGACACCAGATCTGTGAGCCATTCACAGCCCTTCAGCTGCAAGGCTGTGTGCCAGTGACAGCCACAGCTACCGTGTCAGTAAATGTACTTTCAGACTCCTCCTGCCTGTCTTCAGGAAGGGTGAATTGCCCATTGAAACAAGTTTGTAACCATGGTACATTCCTCAGTCCATTCTTGCAACCTGGTCACAGAATGACCCTTGAGTATTTAAAAATTCTTTCACTGAGATTTACATTTTTGGGAGAACTGTTGTGTGATGTTTTAATAACTGTGTGAACTCTACAGAAGTTCCACACAAACTGATTGAACTATTTTGATTGATAATTTGAGACCAGAATCCAAACTTGCTACATGATTCAATGCCACATCATGGTGATAACTGGCTGAAAAACACAGGGGAAGACACATTAAATGTTGTGCAGACTCTCTAGGTTTTAATAAAAACTCCAAGTATCACCCTCAGTGCTGCTCTTTGCCATAAGGAACAGGCAGGGTTCTCAGCCAGAAGACTCAGAGACCCACAGGCTGGGCAGGCTGGTGTGCTGGGGGCAGCCTGGCTCTGCTGCTGGGGCATCAGTGCAGCCACAAGTGGCACAGGCTTTGCCCACATCCATTCCAGCAGCCTAAGGAGCCCCGGGCAGCCCAGGCAGCTCCCAGAGGTGCCTACCTGCCCTGGGCAGCACTCAGGATTTCCATCAGCCTTTACAAAGGGGCTGGGCTGCCCCTCAGCTTTGCTCCAGTTTCCAGTGGAAAGTTTTCTTCACAAATACATGTTGTAGTGAAACTTAAGCATCAAGTTCTGAAGGGCCAAGTTGTGAAATCCCTGCTTGTTACATAACATGCAAAACTGCTAGAAACAAAGGCAAGATGAATCTTATAAAATAAATGTGGTGGTGACTGATATAGGAAGAATCCATTTGGTGACCTTGACAGCTCCTTGTGACAGAGCAGCTGGACTCAGCAGGTCACCAGGGAACCAGTCACCTTCTCCCAGTGTTCTGCTGAGGCCTAAGTGCTGTTATTCCAGCATAAGCCAAACTAGGGAGATGGGGGTGATTTATCTAAAAGAAAGCTCTTGCAAATCAGAAATCAAACGTACATTTGAAGATGGATGCAGATAGAAAAAGGCACAAATATTTCAAGTGTTAAACCCTCTCCATTCTTTCCAGAATGAATCATATTTTAGGTAACTTGTTCCTTTACTGCAGAACCTTTTATGTAAACCTGGAAGTAAAACTCGTGTATCAAATAAGTATCTGAAATGTTGCTGGAGGCTTCTGCAGGCAGAATCACTGCATCAGAAAGAAAATTCTCACTCCAGCACCCTGGCACGGACAGAAGAGCCATGTTTCAGAAACTGGCTGGCTCTGAGGTAAATTCCCTGCTCTTGGAACCACAACTGGCCTGAGGAAATGTCTGTGCAGCCCTTAGGCACGTGAAGGGAGTTGGGCTAAAGATGGTTTTTTGTCCTGGAGCCCTGAGCCCGGTTTGCCAGCCCCGCAGCCACCTCCTCCCATCCAGCACAATCCCCTGCTCACTAACAGCACAAGCAGGGGCTCTGGGTGTCTGAGCACCAGGGCAGGTCCACCCCAGCAGAGCAGGTTTGTGTTGCTACTTACGGTTGTTTTTTCCAGGCAGTGCAGCAGGTGGTGATGTTGGCTTTCAATTAAGGAGGTGCCTTTAGTCACATGCTGTTCATCTTCAGTGGATCCCTATGGAACCAGAAAAGGGGAGAGAAGAAACAAAACCAGGTGTAAACCCAAGCAAACAGGCAGAGCTTCCAGCACCAGGGGCCAGAGGCAAAGGCAGCCCAGGCAGTGCTCCCAGCTGCTCCTCAGGACTCCTGTTAGGTGCCCTCATTGTTTCCCTTAATGATTTGGCTTGTGAGCTCAGGTGAGAAGCACAGGTTTGATTCAATCCCAGGGTGTTTCCAGCCATTTTGTAGCTGTGGAGGGAGGGTGAGAAACACTATTGAAGGGTGATCTCCAGGTACCCGAGCCAGAAGGTAAGAAAAAAAGAAATGTGCTGGCTTATTTTCCAGAAGAAGGTTAAGAGTTTTAAGCTTGACATGACCTTTGGGTGCCAATAGATCTACCCTGCAATTGTTTCCTGTGCTTTGTTCCTGTGGTGTATCAAGAGGGGGCTGTTCCTTCTCTGGTCAGTGGGGGTGGTTGTTGGTGGGGAGATGGTAGCAGGTCCTAAGGACTGGGTTTGGTGCAAACTGAAGGTCTGTAACTCCTCCTGAGGCAAAGCCCTCTTGGAAAGGCAGGGACATAAGGGAGGAACAGGCAGGCACTATTTCTGTGAGAATTCTTATATATAAATTATCCTGCTCAAGCATTTGGCAAATGAAGCAGCAGTGGCAAAGGGTCTGTGCTCCTGTGACACGTGGCAGCAGTTCCCTAGGAGAAGGAAGGTCCTGTCTTCAGTAGTTTTTCCTGGCTTGTGGCTTTCCCCCAGCAGGGTGGCTTGCTGGGATGTGTGTGTTGGGAACACAATGCCCAACAGCCCCATGTGCATCACCCAGCACGAGCCCAGAGCAGGGCAAGCTGCTGGCAGAGTCCCCACTTGGCTTGTTGCACAGCAGAACCTGTACAGCTGGGCTCCTAAGGATATTCTCTTCCTACTACTTAAGCTTCTGGTCTTGAAATTCGCTGTGATTTCCTGACACATTAATCTGTGTGTGTCTTTGATGACAGGTGTTAAAATGGCAATTTGGTGTGGTGAGATGTTTCCCTGAGCTCCCTCAGGGAGGAGTGCCTGGTGGCTGCTGCACTGCCTGAACCTCAGAGCTATACATTGATGTGTGTGCCTTGTGTCTCTGCTTGGACGTGAAGCAGCAGTTTCTAACTGTTCAAGAGAGAGAAGAGGTGGCTGGGAGCTGGAGCAGGGGGGCTTGGCAGGAGCACCAAGACACTGCCTGTTGCTCTCAAGGGGGTTAAATTCAACCATGCTTAAAGCATTGCTTTTAAATACCCTCATGTGTCCCAGTGATTCACTGCACATGTGTGCTCTGGATGCCTTTCCCGGGATGGCTCTGTGAGCCTTGAGTGAGGGATGAGCTCTGGCTCTGGCAGATGCCAAAACAGAGCTGAGCTGGTACCTTAAGGAAGCTGACTGACGTTCCCATAGGAATCTATTAATTCCATGTACAGTATCTTAGGCAGGTTGTGGATTGTTTTGTTGCTGTTGTTTTCAAGATGGAGCATTCCCAGAAGTATTTTTAGAAATGGTCTTAAATGGAACTGATTTTTTTTAATTTTTTTTTTTTTTTCTTCTTCTGAGCAGTCCCCTGGTGAGCTCCCCCACCCTGCAGGTCCTGCTCGTAGCCTGCTGAGGTGACTGGCTCTGCTGAATCTGTGCTGGAGTAGCTCCCATGGAGGTCCTTGCAAGCCCTAAAGCAACTATGATGCTGCACTAAAACCACTCAAACTCCTGGAAAATGAGAAAGAGCATGTACAGCAAACAGTATCATTTTTATAAGGATTTGTTTGAGAGCAGATCTAAGTGGAATCTGAAAGTAAAGACAGAGCTTCCACACCTCTGGCAGAAGAACTCAGCCAATGTTCATGTTGGCAGCAAAACTCTCCCCTTGCTTTCCACCCAGTGCTAGGCTGGCCACTGATGGGAATGAATCTGACCAGGATTCACCACCAGTGGGCAGGACTTGCACCTTGTCTTCAGCCAGCTCAGTGTTTCCAGAAACAAAGACTATGAAACCACTGAGAGCATCCTATTCTCCATCAGGGAATGGAGAATGAGATCTGGGGGAGCTGCTGCCCTGGGACACTGGGAGTGCCAGCATCACACAGTGTTTGGCACTTTGATAGTGCTGCTGAGGAATGGATACCCATAAAGGAGGAGAGTTTGGTTTTGGAGCTGGGATGCCATTTTTGCAAGGCTTTGATGCCAGCTGCCACTCAGGTTGTTCTTGGGAGACATTCACTGAGCTGCTGGTTGCTTGGAGGGAGAATGAAACCCACTGCAGGGTCAGTTCTGAAATCCAAAATACTTCCCCTTTACCTCTTGTACTTAGTGCCTCAGCAGGCAAAGCTGGAGGCTGGAGATGAAGGGGCTCAGGGTTAGATTGTCCCTTCCCAGGGGAGCAGCTGCAACACTTTGCTAAGCAGCTTCTGCTTGTGAAAAGGCACAAGACCTCCCAGCCTGCTGTTCCCAGGATACACACTTCCCAGCATTTTAGCTAAAAGGGAATTTCAGCTGGCTGTACAAAGAGATTAACACTAAGAGGATACATAGGCTGGGAAGAAGCTCACCATCCCCTGAGCACTTTTGACATAAAACCCACTAAAAATCTCTAAATGAGAAGAAAAAATGTCTGAGTACTTCATGTCTAGATGGCAAATTGAAACTGCCACAAATCCATGTGTTTGTGAAGCAGGAGTCTGCATCCTTGCTAGGAGCAGAGCTCCTTCCTGCTGCTGTCCTTGGATAAATCCTCCTCTTTGATTCTGGCTCCAGGCTGGAGACAAGCTGTTCCCTTGAAAGATGGTGTCAGTGTTCATGCTGGTGCTAATGAAAGGACCTTCTGGCACATGTTCTGAAATCTTGAATTGTCCTTATTTCTCAGTGTATGAGTTTGGGTGCAGAGCCAGGGCCAGGGTGGGTTCTGGGGCAGTGTTTTTCCTTGGGTAAACCCCCAAGGTGTCAGAGTGCAGGGAGATAAAACAGTTTAGAGTGATCCCAGAGCTGGGTGACTGCTCATGGTGGAGGTGATGATGGAGGTGATGATGTCTGGCTGTGGCTGCAGTTGGGATCACTGCTGGTGACAAACTAACCCGAGGGCAAACTGACCATGTGAAGTCAATTAAAAGTTAATGTGAGTCCTGGGCAAGGTACCAAGTGTGTACCTGACCAGTGGAGCTGTTTGACACTCATCTGACTAACAGACATGCACGGTAGGTAGTTAATATTTTGGTGCCTAATATAGTAACTACAGGAGTCACATTCCTTCATATTTTTGCAGCTTAAAAAAATTGGCTGCCTGGACTCTGCTGTCACTCACTCCTGGTACTCTAAGGAATAGTTTGTTCTCCTGCCAGAAAAGGAAAGGACATGAATGTTGCCTGGCTGTGTTCATCCTTCCAGCAAAGGATGTTCTGTGGTTCTGTAATTAATTGATGCCACTACCTGTGGATGGAGAGACAAGTCTCAGCTCTGGAGGCAGGGATGAGGCTGCTCCTCAGGTGCTCACAGATCACATCCTGGGGGTGCTGCAGGTGTCAGACACAGCTTGGGAAAGGTCCTTGTTTTACTCAATTATATTCCTGTATGTCACAGGTGGAGGGAAGTTTGCCCTTCCCTATTCCCAGTGCTTTTGACCATTTCAGCAGCAAATTCCTTAGGGTGGGGATATTTTCTTACAAAGCACCAACACAACTGGGCATAATGTTCAGTGCTTTTCATGGTGGGTTTTGTGGATCTTACTGGGCTGTGGGGGAGTCATGTTGGCATTTAGAGCTGTAAGCCCACCAAGAAGCAGGTTTCATCCAGAAAACTTTGGGAAGACCTGCCCCAGATGCTCCTATATGTCTAAATTTAGTTATTAATGGGTAAAAAAATAGAATAACCTGGAACCTCTTTAGAATGTTTTTGTTTTCCTTTCTGTACCTACAGCAGGTTCATAGCCAACAAAATTACCCTCCTTCTACTTCTTTTTGGGCAAGTTCCATAAAATTAATCTGTTCAGCCAAATATTTCTCACAACCTCATGCATTTTGGACCTAAGCATTGGTGTGTCAGCTGCTCTTCTGTGAGTGGTCTTGGCAGGGAGTTTTAGTTGACAAGAGAAGTGAGGAGACTCTTGTTGGGATGACAGGCTGGAAGATCAAGTGCAAAAGGAGTGTCCCTGCTAAGATCTTCTGGCATTTTTAAAAATCAGAAATCTAAGGCTGAAAAAGGAAGTTTTAACTCTGCAGCCAAATTTTTGCATGTTCCTGGGTAATGAAATAGCAGAATTTCTGCTGAGCTCCAGCCCAGTCCTGAGCCTTCCCTTTACATGGCTAAGGGTCTGGAATAGGTGGGGCCAGTTTTCCTGGTCTCTAATGCTTCTGGTAAAGAAGCTTTTCTCGAGCTGCTCATCAGCAACATATGGTTCAAGAAACAGATTTTCTGGGAGTTGCTGCCATGTGCAGAGCAGGAGACAATATTAGAGGTGTAGTCAGAAGGATCAAACCTTTTTTTGGAGGGGAGAACAGAAACTGATCTGGGCATCCTACCTTCCAGAACTGCGCTGGGTGCAAAGGGCTTTTGTGGAGCCAGTTTAAAAGCTCTTCAGTGTAAAGGGCCAGATTCCTCTCCCTGTGCACTGAGCAGCATCCTACTTGCAAAACAAGGTGCTGCACAACTTCCCTCTGTGTTGCACCCCCTGAACCTGGGTGGCAGTGGCTCAGGTCCCAGGGAGCAGCTTTCACCAGGAGCTGAGAAGGTTTTTCAGCTTGGATTTCACAAATACAAAAATCTGTGCAGGGAGAGCAGTAGATGTTTAAAGGATTAGGGCCCAAGCCAGGAACCATGAACAAGTGCCAGGCTGCTCTGGTGACTCCATTAAGCATTCTTCATCTTGCTCTTTGCTCCCCATCTGCGTGAAAGGCTGATTTATTTGAAATGAAATCCTTGAAATGTGCTAATACCTGCTCTGGTGTTGATCAGGCTTAATGTAATAACCTTTTCTTGCTTTCACTGATTCTGCTGAGCAATCTGACGCACTTGGAACTTTTCTTCTCCTGAAAGGCTGGAATTGGCCTCCAGAGGCCTTTCTGTTAAAAATAAACCCCCCACCAAACTGCCTGAAACAGGAGCTAGGGAATATTTTTCCAGTCCTGCTGGGCATGATCAGACAGTCCATGGTGGAGGGAGACTCTTGGAAATAACAAACTGCATGTTGAGAGACGGAGGGTATTTATAGTCTGGGCAGAGCCTGGGTGCTATAAATCAGCTCAGCTCCAGCAGCTCCATCACACAGAGCTCTGAGGGGACCTGGTTGTTGCTGGAAGGTCAGATCAGCTCAAGGAAGCCTTTTTCCTGCCCTTCAGTCCTGCAGCTGGATCCCAGCTGTCCCAGCACTCCCAGTGCCTGGGGTAACATCATCCCGGGGGGGCTGGAGAGCGAGGACTGGAGTGGCAATAGGGAGAGAAAGAGAGGGAGCCCGGGGAGAGGAGTGGGAGCAGGGGCTGCTTCACCTGCGAGGAGGGGGCTGTGGTCTCTGCACTCACCGTCAGCTCCAGGGCTTCGTTGAGGAGCCCGTTGCGCTTGCTGTGCAGGTAGGCGTTGGAGCTGCCCGTCTTGGCCACGCGGATCCTGGCCAGCCTGGCTTTCTGTGGAGAGGGCAGAGGAGCTGGAGTTACACCCTGGCACACAGAGTGGTCAGTCCTGTGCTGGCAAGAGCAGCAGGAGGGAATAGCGGGTTCTCCCTCTACCTGCAAAAGCCTGTGGGTGCAATACAGGGGTGTGGGGAACATCCAGCAGAGCTCTGGGGTGGGTACGTGTGTCTGGAGAACATCAGCTGCCAAGGAGCACCAAGAGCCTTTCCAGGGATAAGGAATGGGCTCCCGGAGATTTGTTTATCATTTTTAAAGTGAATGTTGATTCTGGGGAGAAAGATGCACAGCAACTGGAGACACTTCTCCTGGCCGTGCCCCTGGGGCAGGAGCACAAATGGCCATGAGTGGCCCAGCCTGTGTAGGAGCTCTGCAGGTGTCAGGGCTCCCCTCCTCTCTAAGGGCTTGGCTGTTGACTGCTCCCTTTATCTTTCAGCTCTGTCCTTTGACATCTGTGTTGTCACTTGCTCTGTTTGTGCTGCAGCTGGTGAGGTGGACAAGGGGCTGCTGCTGGGCTTGCAGAGGGAGGGGATCTGAGAGGCAGGCTGGGGAGTTGCTGCACTTACCAGCCCAGTGGAATAGGTTCTTACTGGGAAATACTGATCAAAAAGTCTGTGTTCCTCCTCATCCTGCAGTAGGAAAAGGCACCAGTTTTGTTCCTCTGCAGCAGGGGGAGATTATTGACTCTGGTGACACAGACTGTCCAAAATACACTTCTCTTGGCAAAGTGGCAGAAATCCCCCTGCACCAACAGGGAGGGTCAACTCTTCTAACTCTTGTTTATCCCTGACCTCCTTCACCTCCAGGTGGACAAGTTACATGATAAAACACCAGTCCAGAATAAAGCAAGCAAGAAAGACCAGTAAGAGCCTCTTCATCATTAATCACACAGTTCCTAGTGTTTCAGTTTTTCTTTTCAGTTGTTGCCTGCTCCTCTGTCAAGTGCTGATTTGCCTTTTTCTACTGTTAATTTATGACTCAAACACCATTAAAAGTAAATACATGAAATAGCTGCAGTGAATGTTGATTCTGGGGAGAAAGATGCACAGCAACTGGAGACACTTCTCCTGGCCGTGCCCCTGGGGCAGGAGCACAAATGGCCATGAGTGGCCCAGCCTGTGTAGGAGCTCTGCAGGTGTCAGGGCTCCCCTCCTCTCTAAGGGCTTGGCTGTTGACTGCTCCCTTTATCTTTCAGCTCTGTCCTTTGACATCTGTGTTGTCACTTGCTCTGTTTGTGCTGCAGCTGGTGAGGTGGACAAGGGGCTGCTGCTGGGCTTGCAGAGGGAGGGGATCTGAGAGGCAGGCTGGGGAGTTGCTGCACTTACCAGCCCAGTGGAATAGGTTCTTACTGGGAAATACTGATCAAAAAGTCTGTGTTCCTCCTCATCCTGCAGTAGGAAAAGGCACCAGTTTTGTTCCTCTGCAGCAGGGGGAGATTATTGACTCTGGTGACACAGACTGTCCAAAATACACTTCTCTTGGCAAAGTGGCAGAAATCCCCCTGCACCAACAGGGAGGGTCAACTCTTCTAACTCTTGTTTATCCCTGACCTCCTTCACCTCCAGGTGGACAAGTTACATGATAAAACACCAGTCCAGAATAAAGCAAGCAAGAAAGACCAGTAAGAGCCTCTTCATCATTAATCACACAGTTCCTAGTGTTTCAGTTTTTCTTTTCAGTTGTTGCCTGCTCCTCTGTCAAGTGCTGATTTGCCTTTTTCTACTGTTAATTTATGACTCAAACACCATTAAAAGTAAATACATGAAATAGCTGCAGCTATTAAAAAATAATTACATTGTGCTGTATTTTAAAATGCTGCATAATCTTTTAAATAACATGGAACTCGTGATTTTCCTTTCTAATTAGAGGTTCTAATGGGTACACACTGTGGGAAGGGTAAAGCCAAGAGGCAAGGATCTGCAGTGGGGCCAGGCAGTGGATTAACTATTAATTCCAGCCACTGTGCACATGAGACTGACTTTGGCCCTCAATATTTGAGAGATTTGTGAAACCTTAAGAGCTGCTGCCTAAGCAGACACTTTCTCAGGCAAAGACATGTAGAGAATACTAGTTTGCAGCTTTAATTAGGTGACACAGACTGTGACCAGTCTGAAAAATAGGTAGTCTTTGGACATCCCAAAATGGGGACACCCAAAATTGACCTTTTCTCTGCACTCCTCCTGGATTTCATTGTCATTGTGTTGAGATTCTGGATCAATATATGAGAGTGAAGTCTCTGCTGGAACTTACCCTGTAGCAGGGCTGAGGGGTCCCACCTGCTCACCTGTGATAGGGGCACAAGTTGTATTTGCACAGTGTAGACTGAGGATACACCAAGAAAATGAAACTGGATCTTCAGTTTTTCTGAAGACTTTCCCAAAGTGCTGAGTTGCTCTGAGACTTGAATAAGACTGAACCTGAGACTACAGTCTGGGACCAGAAATGCAGGAATTCTGTGTGTCCCAAATTACCCACCTCACCTCTAGCAGGAAAAGTTTCATCCTCATCTTCAGTCAATTGTTGAAGTGGATTCAGTCTTGGCCTCTTGTAATGAACATTATTCCCTTTGCCTCCAGGCTAGCAAGGATCAAATATTAATAGCTGTACTCCACATGGGCTGGGGATGGTTTGTTTCTAAGGTCTGTTCTCTTCTCTTCTTTGAAACAGGGCCACTAGCTCTCTAAATAATGAAGCCCCATGGCTTTTGTAGTTTAGAATAGACTTTGTTATTTTAAAAAGTGTCAGTGGGACAGGACAGAGGTTAATCCTACACAAAAGGCTGGCTAGGACAGTCACATTGCCTGACTCTGTGCCCCCATCATGATTACATTTGGTAGATATCTTGATTAACTCATCTAGAAAAGTTAATTAACATTGGTGCCTAAAATTGCTTTGGCCCTCCAGACAGTTTCCCACATTGGAATAGAAACTGCTCTAAAGCCACAGTTTGTGTGTTTCTGTGAAAGCCTGTGTGCACAGGTGCACTGCTGAGCAGGTGAGCTGGCTCAAACCAGGACATGACCCCAGCTCTGCACGCCCCGTGTCCCGCGGGTGCAGCCCTGGCAGTGCCTGGCAGCCAGCAGCTCTGCTGTGGTGTTTTGCAGGAGCCCTGCTCTGAACTGCCATGGGTTTTGCTGTCAGAAACCCAGACAATTTGGGTGATGGTGTCTTCCAAATTCTGCCAGTTTTCAACACGTGTGGATCTGCTTTTGCCCTCCCCTGCCCTGCAGGGCTCGGTGCTTCTGCTCTGCGGGACAGGGCAGACGAGTTGGGGACCGTGTTCCTCTGGCCCTGCCCCACACCTCTGTGGGGCAGGTTGTTGTCCCCTGCATCTTATCCCACAGCTGGGACAGACTACAGGTCATTAGGGCCAGGCCTGAGATCACTGTTACTGAATATAAGCCCTGCACAGAGAGGCTATAAAAGGAAGAGCAGGCGGCACAGGGTGTCTGCGTGTGGAGCAGTGAGAGGGTTGCTAGGAAACCACAGGATCTCAAAATGCATATGACCTAATCTGAAAGATAATTTATGTGATGAAAATAATAATACTAATGACAGCCACTTACAGGTTAGAAGGGTGGATCTGGTCATCTTGGAGCCATGTGCTCTGGGACCAGGATGCTTGCAGGTCTTGGTCATTTCTGGCTCCTTCCTGCTGTGTAAGAAACTGGGGGCTTGGAAGCAGCAGGAAGGGCAGAGAAGCCCCGTCCATGCCAAGTGCTGGGGGGTGGTGGAAGTGGCTGTTGGCATCCTGGGAATCTATGTTTCCCAAAGGGACTGGCAAAGATGAAAGACTTGCCTATCTTCATCCTTCAGCTGCTGGGGAGATGTGCAAGGGGCAGGAGCTGCTGGCTTGGGGAACAAAGCTCACCAGATGGCAGGCCCAGGAAGCAGCTAATTATTATTTATTGATGATTTTCATCTAGCTCTTATGGAGATAATGTTCATTCTTGATTTATGTGATATAATAAACTATTAAGTTACAACCTATGACATAATTTTATATTTGCCAGACATCTTCAGCTCTCCAGATCTTCCCTGCTTTTGAGCAAGGAGATGACTGGAGCACATGGATGTCAGGCATGACCTGTGCAGGTCCTGTGTCCACCCCTGCTCCTGCTTTGGGTGGGACCTCTTCTTAGCATTGTCCTTAGCATTGTCAACCAGAATGGTTGAGGGTGGAAGGGACTCAGCAAAGCCTTCAATTTGTACCTCTGAGTGGGAACTCTGTGCACAGATGTAACTTGGAAAGGGAATGGCTGTCACCTCCCTCTGGTGGGGCCCACGTAGCTCCCCAGCCTCCTGGGGGGGTTTCCTTGCCAGGCAGAAAATGGAACATTCTTCATGTTGAAAAAAGCATTAAAAAAAAATAATATAGTGGGCAAGAAATTAAATTAATCCCCTGTCTGGAGGGCTTTCCTCAATAGAAACAGGCAGCACTGCTCATCTGTCCTGCTCAAGGCTCTGGGAAGCTGCTGTGCCACCCTTGACAAAGCCTGGAAACAGGCTGGGGGGCCAAGCCAGGACTGGGGGGTACTTCATGG